TCAATTATATAAATTGCATACGGTCGTTAGGTTTGACATTTGAACTGACCCATATTAAAACCGCTTGAGATAGGGCAAAAAAAAAAAAAAATTATCATGCTCCTTTTTTAGTAGTAATCTAACAAAATACCATCACATTGTTGACAGATTGAGCCTCTTCATGCCAATATCATCCTACAAAATAAGACAGACAAAGAGGAGAGAGGGGGGGGGGGGGGGGGTTCCAATACATTCCATGGGACATATTCGATTGATATACCCGACTTTTCCCGTTAAATTTGCTGCATGAAACTGCCATTAATCCAGAACACCATCAGGCCTGCAACAAGAATTACTGTCAATAGTCTTTGTGGGAGGAATATAAATGATTTGATTCCTTTTGTAGTTTGGACTAATAATTGAGCCAATCTATTCTGCCTCGATCTAGATAAGACTCAATTCGAGTTAGACTTTGAGCTTAAACAATTTTACAGACTTGACTTGAACTTGCAAAATTTGACTTGTTTATATTTAAAATAGTCAATCTACTCGCCTCACCTTGAGGTCTTCTCATTTTGAGCTTGGCTCATTTTTTTTTCCGAGTAATGTTATTTGGACCTAAAAATATGACCTTATTTATTGATATAATTCATTATAACCTTTAAATTGACTATAATTCCTATGAAACATTAAAACTTGCTCTTCATCCAATGATTATAATAAAATTACATCATCAGGTTAGCAAATAAGATCAAATTTTTAAGTCTAAATAGAATTACTCTTTTTTAAAAGAACCGAATTTGAATAATTTTTTTAAATTATTTTAAAAAATAAGCTCGATAGACTCGACTTGAACTCACAAAATTTAACTTGATTATCGGCCCTGATATTCTCTCAGTGTTGTTCAATAGTGTGAATCATCCATGGAACCCTTTATTTCTTGAACTCTAATTTTTCTCAGTAACCAAACATTACACAGCTGCATTCTATCTTCTGGGCCTTCAGAGAAACAAAAAAATTTCTAAGGGAAGGATTTAGAAATAAACAAAACATAAGAATATATTGGGTAAATCATAGTTAACTAATAAGTAGAGATACTTGTTGCTGCACATAGTTTTAGTAGAATGGTTGGGCTTCCCTGAAAAAAAATGCTGAATTTGCAGTTTTGCACAATAACATGAAACTAATCTGACAAGAAAGATAACATTTTCTCCCATATATTTTCTCTCTAATTTCTTTTATTGAATCATCTATCGTAAATTCATGTGAATCTATTATATATAAATAAGTTCAACACTCATTAATGATAAAAAAAAATTTTGAGAAATGAAATGAAGGAAAAAAAAATATTTGAAAATATATTCGATATTCCACATCGCAAATCAATTTAGATGGTTGGATTGCCAAAAGAACACCTTCAATGTTTTTGTGCTTTTTAGAATAAAATTATTTACAATTTCTTGACTAAATTCATTATTAACGTTAGATTAACACTAAATTTTAATATTGTATAAGATTCGTGACTCGAAAATTTGTTATCTTTTAGCAACATCTATCGTTGCGCTCTTGTTGAGAGTATGTCCTTGTCAACTACATAGTCCGTTTGAGATTAAAAAATTTTTTATTATTTTTCACATAATTTTACTCAATCATAAATTACTCCCTATATATTTATGTCAAATTCATTATTTAAACTAATTGGGGTAGCTCAGTTGGCTAGACCCTCTCGCTTCGTAGTGGGAGGTCAGGGGTTCGAAGTCCCCTAGGCTTAAAGCGTGTTTATTTGGTAGGACAAGACCTCAGTTACTTGAATGAATCGTATCTAAGTCTCTGGTGTGAGTCTTAAATCCTTGACGACGTACAACTATCCCTGACGACGTACAAGTCTTGATTGAAATAGTGTATGAGTTGAGGGATCAGTTCATACATCTGGGCTCTGTCTTTGGTTCTACTCTAAGTCACGAGCCTGAACAACATAAGAGCGCTTTTACTCGACGAGGATAGGTCGAGGGATCTCCCCGTATATCGAGAAATTTATTATTTATATGTAGATTCCTTGTTTATGCGTGGATTCCTTATCTATACACCGTAGCCCCTAGGTGATATACCATTATAAATAAAATTACGTGAAAATTTAATACTTACTTCCTCTGTTCTTAAATATCTATCGTTTAAGATTTTTGTATAGAGATTAAAGAAGTTATTAAATAGTTTTAATATGAGTAAAAAATAATTGTACATGACTAAAATACTCTTATTCAATACGTATTGGGAAAGAAAGAAATATGAAAGACACTTAACTTCCACCAAATCTAATGTATTGAAAAGTTAAGGGTAAATTTGAAAAAAAAAATATTAATTATATTTTGATTTCATTAAGCGATAAATATTATGAAATAAACAAAATTATATAAAACAACGTATATTTACGAAGAGAAGAAGTATAAATTATCTAAATCCGTACGTTTGTATGCGTACATGCTGAAGAGTTAAGAGTGTAACAGCGACGTGACACTGTCAACGTGTCTGATCCATAGCAGCTCACAGCCTTTGCTGTGTGGTGTTTGATGATCTCATCCATCCTATGCACTACTCATCTGGACCGCTTATCTTTTTGACCTGTGACCACCAAACATCTAAAATGATCCCACCGTGTACTGGGTTTTTAAACAGGGTTTTATTAGGGTATCGGAAAATATTTTTTTTATACTGTAGTTCTTTTTTTCAACCAATAAGAACGTGCCACATGATTTTATATTTGTTTATTATTTTTCAATATACATTATCCAATTCAAAATTAATGGTTTAGATTAATGAAGATATTTGATAAGGAGAAAAATAAGTACGAGTTATAAATATAGATGTCATGAGTTCGAATATTAAAAACTCATTAAGGTCAGGTCATAAGGAATAAATATTCCATGAATACCATAATTTTAGTATAGATAATATGTTTTTAACCAAACTGAAAAATGAATTAGTTATGATATGTGTAAGTTTTGACCCGAATATCTTGACTATTAAACCTCCCAAAAATCTAATATTATATGGAGAATTTGGATTGTTCTTAATTACTTTTTCTCAGTTTTATTATTAGTAGTTCATGATCAGAGGAATATTTACCCAACAACAAGACTTTTGAACTGATTATTCATTTAAAAAAAAGTAGGAAAATTAGTTATTTATGTAATTATGTTGACAGAAGCAAGAAATTTCTAAACAAAAAAAAAAGACAGATTATTTGAGGCATCTGACTTGTGCATACATGTATGTTTATGTATTATCTATAAACAAATTGTCAGAGCAGATAAGAGAGAAAGAAAAGAGAGAAAATGTACCAATTTTCATGGACTAGAACCTCAGCGCTGAAGCGTTTATTACTTCACTTTCTTTCTTTCGCTTCTTCTTGGTCTTTGTTTTCTTCATGGCTTGTGTTCCCAACTCAGTGTGTGTGTGTGTGTGTGTGTGTGTGTGTGTGAGAGAGAGAGAAACGAGGTGGATGGCACACAGAAGCAGTGAGTGTAGCTAAAAACATGAAAATATGTTAATTTGCACATTCCCCAATTTATAAGGAGGAGGTCCCTTCTCTCTGAACCGATATTTTTTTAGTAAGGGAGACTTTCCACCATTTATTATGGTTCAGTCTTATTTATTACAAGAGCACGTACATGCATGACAACACGCAACAGGGACAATCGTGTCTGAACAGGTTGACAAAATCTTCTCTGTTTTTTCAGTTTTTTTTTTAGAAAAAAAAAATCGAAATTATCTTTTTGAATCCAACATAATTGAAACATGAGAGAGATTTTGGTATCCTAAATTGAAGGGTGCGGTGGTCCAATCTTGTCCATTGTTGTTATTATTTGAGGGTGCTAATCTATAATTTAAAATAAGATAGGTTTTAAAAAATTTATTTGACCATTTCAAATAGGCTCGAGACAAATTTTAAGAAGTCTATCCGACGATCTCAAATGAACTCTTTCAATGACTACTAACATCCTTTTCAAAATCATTCACATTGCACTGTACCTTCATACATGAGTTACCCCTAAACTATGTTATAAAACAAGACAAGTTTCAATAAATTCATTCGACGGTTTTAAATAGACTCATCCAACAACCACCAATATTTCTCACAAAATCATTCATAGTACACAGTATTTTCAGGCAAGTTACCCATAATTTTTAATATAACACAAAAACATAACTCAAATGCGACACTAGAATTAGCGGGTTAATATTAATTATTTCTACACACAAACCTAAAAATGACATAACTTGTTAACAAAAATAATAAATGGGTCGAGTTAATTTCAAATATAAATAATTTAAAATTATTGTTTAACTAGCATAATATGAATGAAATGCCAAATTTTATTATTTTTTATATTTATCAATTCTCCTAAAATAAGAGGAATTTTTTTTGCTTATTTTTATTATTATATATGTATTTAATTAATTTTCAGTTTAAGAAAAAAATATGAGTGTAGGTTTAATTAAGATATAATAAAATCCTAGTGCGTATGTTTTGACTCACTAATTATGTGGATCAATTCAAACACGATTAAACAAATAAAATTAATGTCAAAATATTTAACACAAATAAATTAAAAATTAACTAATACTCGACCCGTATCCAAATTAACACACTCAACACGGAGCCACCCTTATTTTCATTGCGTCGCCCTTGGTGACGTCAATCAAAATGAAGCTTCGCCTGTTCATCATAAAAGTATGATTGTCTGTGTCTTTCCACATGGTCAACCCTTGGGTGGTTCTTCAATGTTCTCTATACATGACTCCATCTGGTGTTATCCAGTTAGCAGTCAATCTAATATCAAGCATCAATAAATCTTGTTGAAGAAACAATAATTTTATGGACATAACCTATCACACTCTTTCGATCGGTTGTTTGTTCCAACAAATACTGGGATTCATTGTCAATTCAATAATTATGATTAATTACGTCAAAAAAATAAAAAATAAAAGTCTCAATTTCATGGCCGGTACAACTGTATTGCCTCATGGATAAACTTCATAATTATGATTCATCAAGGAAACATGGCTAGATTGTTAACAGTAATAAGATTTTGAAGAATTAGAATAAAAATGGTTCAAAGTAAACTTAAGCAGATTGGCAAAGCTAAAAAACTGCCAGAAGCATTTGCAATGACAAACATAGACTGTACAGTATATAAACATGTATCTACTTTTGAATCTTACAGTTTTCTTTCTCGTGACATTTTTGACATGATATTATCTACATGATCACTTGACAACCCTATAGTAAGCCTTAACCGAATCCAAACCCTTCGTTCGCTTCATGAATGGCAAGAAGCAGTCTCTCCTCTAGATGTTGTTTAGAAGGATACTCCGGCAAATCTAGCTGATTAAAACTGCAATTCATCAAGAGAAATTTGGTAATACACCCACCAGATTGTACATCATATTTAAAGACCTAAAAGGCAGAAATATACTGTAACCAAGAAATGGCAAGTCAGTAAAGTAGTTTAAGCCCACATCTTCAGTGAAATGAATAAAAATGATAGAGGTCAGCATAGAATGTTACCAGGTATGAGCTGAAGGCAAGTGATCAGGACTGCCGTATGCCTTGTGTATTTGAAATTTCTGCGACCCTGAAATTCCTTGAAGTGCACTGAATCCTTCTAAAGGCACCTGCAAAAATAGTTCACAATCAGAACCTCGTTGAGAGCCAATGAATTCATGTCAACTATGAATTCGTTTCTTTATTGCTTGCTAAAATTCTGCTGTTGATGCCAGTCGGATGATGCACCACAGAATAACAATCAGAAATTTGAACAAATTAGTACAATACGATGGCTATGGTCCACAGTGTAGTGTTTAATTCAAAGATGGAATTTTTTGACCACTAAGGAACGAACTTGTTTCAAGACGTCTGAAACGTTTCGGTTTAACGGAAACCGAAATAAATCTTTGATTGAATATCAAAATTCCTATATTTTGAGGTGTTTAGGCAAGTTTTGACCTTTGTTTCGGTATATTTCGAAAATAAATTTTCAAAATTATCTTTGTTTCCATTGTTTCTGAAATATTTCTGAAACATTATCAAAACGTTTCTGTTTTCAAGCTCACCGAAATTGTGCACCAAAACAAAATTTTGATCCTTTGGGACCACAAAACATACAAAAACACATATACCTTTGAGGTGCCAGTCACAAATTGTAAGAGGCGAGCCTTATCTTCCTTGCTGAAACCGTGAGCAACCTCCCAAAACCACTGAATGACAGGAGATGCTGCACTATACCCAGAATACTCTGTATTCACCCTCATATCATCCACTGAAGACATAAATACAGTATTTGGTTAAAATAGTAATTTTTTATTCTCATGGGCTTTAAGCTAAAAAATGTAGACGTGATTCATTTAGGTATGGGGAACTCACAATCTATATCTGGTAGCCCACTTATTAACAATTCGAGTTCTTTATCATTGAAAATCGATATCAAATCCCGAGGTATTAATTCACCAAATCCTTCCAAAAATGCATTTATCTGAGGACGAATTGCAGTAGTTAACCGATGCTCAGCAATTAAATCAACATACTGATGCTTGTTCTCCTCAGTAACTCGAATGTTCCGCCCACCAGGGATCAGTTCAGAATCAGTTACCTGCATTTTGTAAATCAAATTTAAAATTACAAACCAAGATATTGCAGAAATATCCCATGAATGGAGGACTGTGTGAAATTCATACTTCTGTCCGTTCATATAATATCAGCTTCTCTTCATCAGCATCGATGCTAAAAGTAAGATCTAAAACATCACTTATGTCATTCTGCAAAAGAAAACACAGACTTAAGTCTAGGGAGCCAAGCAGAATTATGGTTAAACAAAAACAGCACAAATCAGGTAAACTTCGAACATGACACACCTCAAGCATCCACTTCAAGTTTTTGAAGTAGTCGGGATCAATGGCTTCAATGTCATGATATGTGACTTTAACCCCAAGTATATGCTTATAGAAAGACCGGGTGAAATGAACATCAAGAAGTTGTCCATCAAAAAGTGCTTTCCCTACCTGGAAAATGTAGAGGCATCAAAGCTATGAATATAAAAAAAAAATACTTCAATCCAAGAACAAATAATGAAGGTACTCACAACTCGCCCAATAAACTTGAAGTATGAAAGATGTTCGGTCTGATAAACAGAGTTGGGATTTGGCTGAAACGTTGATTCATTGCCAACTGTCGTAAATAGCAACGCTCCCTTGTCAAAAATAACCCTGGACAACAACTGATACCATTCCCTGGTAAGTCCACCAGCATCAATACCTTCCTCCCCTTGGAAGTGAACAGTCAACCTCCCCTTCAAATCTTGTGTTGACCTCAAGCGCAGTTGATTATATGAATCTTCAAGAATGTAAGCTCTTCTCACAGAAATTCTCAAAGGACTATGATGATGATCATGCTGATGCTTGATCTTAGATCTAAAATGAGAACGTTTGTTGTCAAAATCAATAAAGCGAGGAACCTTCAGCAGGAGTGAGAAAGACTTCTCAAGCAAGCCGGGGTTTTGTCGGATGAAAGCATTGAGAAGCTTCCTGTGCTTGTCAGAGAACTTAACAAAAGCAATGTGTTTTTCGTCAACTTTCAAAACAGGCCCTGATGTCTTCTGCAGGCCAGCCGAACTGGAGGCATCTTCGACATCAGAAACTGCAACACCACCGAAATCGTGTCCTGCACCTGATTGGCTAGGATGCAACTTTTCACACATCACAAAGAAGGATTCTATGTATGGCAAGAGGTTCTGAGAACCCGCAGGAAGTGGAGGCATTACTCGAGATGGTTCAGATGTGGAAATTAGAGATGACTTTGACAAATCAAGTGCGGAATCTGAATAGCTCTCTATTTTGCTAACGCAAGTGCTCAGTTCCAGCCACAAAGGCTCCAAAGCTGCATTGATGTCCTGTATCAGGGGCAGAGCAGCACCATGCTCCCTTTCAGGAACAATCTGGCGGTCCTTTTCCTTCTCATCAACTAAAGCAATGAGGGAGCTCAATGCTTGCAAAACCCTGAGAATTGCAGCTCCATCAGAGGATGTAGTACTGAGCAGTGCTTTCTCTACTTCCCCAAATAAGTGTAACTCATCCATCGCAGATTTAGACAATTTTCGCACAGCACCAGCTAGCTCAGTGATAAATAGATGACAATGAGCAGGAGCAATAGCCACCAACTTCTTCAATACCTCAGCCACAAGAGCATATGCATTATCTGACAGACTGGATGCAAATGAAATACATTAGCCTAAACACACGAGCAAAAAAAAACTGCCTATCAAGACAGCACATACATTCAAAAGAATCAAAACCACAGACATCAAACTATTTAAGCCCACATATTGTTCCAAGGAGTATTAGTAAAAGGTGCTTATTTGATTCTAATAAAGCAGATGAGATGGGCAGGATTACCATGTGAATGTCACCTATCTCTCCACAAATCAAGAAGTCAACAAAAGTCCACCATTTATGCATTAGCCTATTATAAGGATCAAAATTTCTTTTAAATGTATTGTTTCGATCACCAAGGAAATGCACTTTAGAAACATTTCAAAAATAGAACGGAAACGGAGAAAATCTTAAAACACCTCAAAACATTCTGAAACACCTCAAAATATAAGAATTTTAATATCCAATCACCGGTTCAGTTTCCATAGAACCGGAAACGTTTTGTCGGGCATTGTGAAGCAAAATTTTATTCCTTCGCCAATGATACACACCTAGGTACTTCAGACATAGGTCAGCAGTGACAAAACTATCACAATTTTTTTTGTTTTGTTTCATCACCTCTATCACACCCAAAGCAAATCCACCTGTCCTCGGTTGCATTCCAAATATGCCCGTCATGTTAGAAAAATGATCTCACCACAAAAAGTTCCCTCCTTTCTTCTAAATTAGAACTGAATTTTGGTCACATCTGAAATCCGCCATGGCATTCAAAAAATGATAATAGGGGTAATAAGATGAATCACAATGATATCCCCTTTTTCTAGATATATTTTGGTGACAACCATGATATATCCAGGAGTACAACAATTTTTAACTAATAGATCAAGTGCAGTCCTCACAAGGAACTTAAACTAATATGTCCAGGAGTGAAACAATTTTTGACCAATTGCATCTGTGTTTGAGAAGAATAAATAAGATGAGTGTGCCAAAAAGAGTAAAAATATGCTATTGCAACAGGGCATATAATAACAGACAATAAAGAAATACTAATGAATGGATTGCTAATTTGCATACCCTTCTCGTGCAAGCAGTGAGCATATAAGTCGAAGTTCTGCATGTGGTAGGTTAAGAAGAACAGCTTGAGTGTCGCACTCTTTATTTACATCAGAGAACGATGGTTTGGAGGTGTCATCGGCCTTAGACGATGTTGCGTCAGAATAAGAGGACATGCCACCAGAGCCAGTGTTTATCTCAGCATTGGATGTGGACAACTGAAGACCAGATGAGTGTTCAGCTGCAGATGCCTTAGGCTCATCAGATGAACTTGGTTTGACTTCAGCATTATCGATAATGACGTCTAACAAATTCAGCAGCTGAGACAGTAATCAAATTGGATTGGAACCAGTTAGCATGTTGGAGTTAATTAAAGCAGCATAATACAATTCTGTGGAACCTCTTACCTGTTCAAGATGGGCTATACTTCTTAAATAAAGAGGTTGATGCAAGAGACTCAAAAGCAGTGCAATAGACGTGTATCCTTCATGATGCTTGTTTTTTCCAATATCATCCTCTTCAATCATTACAGCCTTGCCCCGTCTCTGATCAGAATTCTCCGACGCTTGGGGAGCCGGTATTGGCAGGCTAAATTCAAGTAAAATCTTCGCCACAAAAGAATGATTTCGTGCCAAGTATGTGAGAGTTTCCAGAACACGCCGAGACACCAAAGGAGGAACACCTATGAATAGAAATGATACATAAAGCTGGTATAGCTACTTTTTTCTCTGAATATAATCTCACAATTTGTGCACAAAATTGTGTTGTGTCTTAGCACTTTATGGAACTTCATAAGAGCACAGGGACTAGCATCCATCAGTCCAATCTCTAATGTTTTGAGTGGGTGTGCAAACACAAGGCCTTCTAATAACCGACGTAGGACAAAGCTATGATTAAAAGGTGGTTTTCCTCAAGTGGAAAAGTACCTCAATGCAGGTGTCTCCTCTCTCCATGAATTATAGCCCAGGACTAGGGTATGAACAGGACATTGACGATTTGCATTCATAACTTATATATATATATAGAGAGAGAGAGAGTAGTTGATGTAGGACGGGAAGGACTAGAAATCACAGAATAGAAAGAGAAAAAGAAAGAATAGGCAGTGGTACGGGTTTACCTCATCCTCACAAGAAATCGGTGAAGAAACACACAAATTCTCCAAGGAGAATCATTTTTTAGTATATCACTTTCTCTAATAAAAATAATTGGGATTACACCATTATTTATAGGTCAAATTCCCTACTAAAATAAAAACTATTATCCTACTAAAATTTTAAAATAGTTTCATAATCAAACTCTTAAATTTTTATCCTACTAAAACTCTATAATAATTCACTAATCAAACTCTAATTAATACTCCTAGTCAAACAAATATTCCCTAACTAATAAAATAATATTAAAACAAATAATAAAATTTAATTATTAAATTTAAGCTCATCCAATCCCTATTTGATCTCTATCAGTAGTCTAAGTAAGACCCTCATTCTATGACATTTGGTTGTGTGTGGCAACAATGTCTCCCGAAGGCCAAGAAATGACAAACCAATAATATATATGATTAATACAAGCACAAGCCAACAACTAGCCTGGCAAGTAACAGCTTCAAGTCCAGAAGCAAATGGGTCCTTGTAATGAATTCAACAACTAAAAATAGAGTGAAGCGCCTGTTTTAGACTATTTTAAGCAAAGTTAAGTTGATGGTGGACTAGTGAAAAAGGCCAGAGAACTACAGATAAGCACCCAAAAATTAATGGTCCTTTCAATTGTCTTCCGTATGCCATGTACACCAGTTGTGTTGCATCAACGCAATAATGAGTTTAAATAATCTATTTTTAATTAACTGAAGAAGGGGCCCGGCAGATCCTATCTCCTAGTGTGCACCTTCTAGCATAAGTCACATGTCACAGGTGCTGTGTAACTCAGGTTGGGATCTGACTTAATCCCAGGCTGTTCCAGGGCTATATTCATAGAATAAAACACACTAAGAAAACTCCAATGCATTTTAAGCCAAACCCAGAGAAAAAGTCTACAAATACGTGAGGCTTAGCATTTCTCACCACCAGGAAACTACTGAAATGTTTCACCACCTGAAGAAAAAGTATCAATTTCTACATACGGCTATAGAATAATAAGTGGAAGAAAAAATTGCAAGTAGTTGTCAATGGCATATCACGGCCAGGGTTCAAGTCTCCACTTACACTAAAAAACCCCTCAGTCTTTACTCAATGACAATAGGAAAATAACACTTGCCACCAAATAACGAGATCTGAAAAGAAGCCTTACCATCAAAAAATTGAGGGCGAGAATACATCACATGACTTTGGCAAGCATACAGCCTATATGAAGGCTCAGAAGCATTCAAATGATTGGAAGGCTTTCTCATATCAAGCATCAACAAGTCCATCAAAATTTTCACCAGAGCAGTTCTGGTTTCAATATGAGCACAAAGATTCAAGAGAAGCCTCTGCAGCTGACCCTTATAAAGTGGCTACAAATAAATATAAATCAATATAGGGATCACAAGGTTGAACACATATGAAATTTAAATAAATTGTACCAAGTGAATACCTGAACTACTCGAAGCAACCGAATCATTGCTTTTAGATCTTCTGTGTTGACCAAAGGAACCCCTTCAGCGTCAATTGGCTTACTTCCGATGGATCTACGGCCAGTAATTCCACTAGCTTGGTCCACACCTTCACCTCGCCTAGAAGACTCACCCCTACGGTTTCGGGGGTACATACCAAAGAGTGTTCGATTATAACGACGAGCAAACCGTTCACGTAACATATTTGCCTCCGCAACAAGGGCAGGCGTGAGATTTGCAAGAATAGCATCAGAGGATGTCAAAAGAACCTGAGGAAAATGTTAGAAACCCATAGGAAAGGCACATGAGATTCCCAAAATAGCTTTTTAGGATGTCAAAAGAACCCGAAGAGGATGAGATTCGGAATAATAGGGTCACATGATGTCAAGAAAATGGAGTTGTAAAAAACCCCGAAAGAAAAAAAACTGTCATACAGAGAAGATTGAGTTCAATATTACAAGTCTCACTATCACATAACGTACCTCTTCTCGTAATTCTGAAGGAAATGTAGCAATTATTGAGACAGTGTCCATTTCAACAGGTTGACCCTCCAGTTCCTGTGACTGATGCAGCCTTTGTGCCCTTTGTTGTGCTAAAACTTCTTCCCGGATGTCTGGGGGAAGTGCTGCAAGAAACTCGGGATCGATATCTGCAGTATTTGGGGGTTCAGCATTTGAAGGCTGTTCTGCTTGACCATGTTGAGCGGAAAGAACCTCGGCACGTAACTCCTCAGGAAGTGCATCAAGAAATGCAGGGTCAATCGGCCCAGGATCTTCGCCACCATTGTGTTGATGCTCTTCAACTGGACCACCCTGCTCTGCTTCTTGACTGGGACTTTCTGCAACTTCCATAACACTGTGAAGGGATGCATCTCTACCACCAACTGGTGTTGTATTATTCACAAATGTCGCATTTGTTCTTCTTAGACGAGTATCAGCAGAACCTTGCCTGTCCCCACCATCATCATGACCATCAGCACTTCCAATTTCAACATCCAGACTCCGAAGGCTCTCCCCTAAAGTTGCCCCACTTCCACTACTTCCTTGGCTCACTGCTTCAACATCCCGCACGACAGAGTCATTGTGCTCAAACTGCATCTCAACAGATTGAGCCTGTGCAGCCGATGCATCTATTCCATGTAGAGATTGGCTTGCCAGAGGTCTGATATCAGCTCTGCCAGAGCTATCCAGTCCTGCAGAAGAGGTAGGAGGTACATAACTGCCTCCACTGTTCCCATTGTTTTCGGCAGGGGTTTCAGGCATCGTCTCAGCTGATTCATGGAACTGATTGACCTCAACTTTACTCTGAGATTCCACCATTGTGTTCGGGTCAGAGGGTTTCTCAGGGCTTGGTCGCCTCAAATGGGAAACAAGCAAATCTTCAAGTCCTTGCGGAATAGCAGATGCATTTGATCCACCACTTTGCGGGTTATTGTCAGCCCACAAGCTGGATCGGTGCCCATGACGTCCATTCCTGAGTGATCGGAAAATTGAATCCAATCGTGATGAGGCGTTTTCCAAGCTCCTATCAGAGAAAACATCACGAGAATTCTCTGGAAAAAGGGAAGGGAAGGGACAGCTATGTCAAAACCATTATAAGAACTTTTAGTTACAAATAATAATTCGGAAAGGATAACCCAAAAATGCGGGTAAAGCTATCAGAAGTTAGGAGAAAAGTTCACAGTAGAGTGAGGGAAAGAACAATCTCCAAGGCACATATACCTGATTGTCTGGGAGGAACTGTGCGTAGTGAGGAAGAAGGTTCCACTAAAAGTGGATGCTGTGAGGGGACAGCATTGTCACTGCTTCTGCCCAGAAGATTGTAGATTGATGTAGTACGCCCTTGGCGTCTGGAGCCAAAAACTTCGACAGGCATCACATGGAGAGTGTCACTGGAAAACCTATGATCTCTACCAAGTACCTCAATATGGTCAAGCACATTTATCCCGTTCATTCCCTCCCCAAGCCTAAGTATAACTCCATCCTCCTCATCCTCATCATCCTCATCCTCTTCCTCCATCACCTCCTCATCAAACTCTTCATCAATTTCATGGTCATCTTGGTCCGTGTCTGGATGCGCTAGGTGATGGACTTCGTCTTCTTCCAGATCATTGTGCTCCTCATCATCATCATCCCCATCTTCATCTTCATCTTCATCTCCTTCATCTCCGTCATCCCCTGACATATCATCATCGTCTTCATCAAGATTCTCTTGTATATCGGGCTGGATTTCAAATCTTATCCCTACAGTGTCAAGGCCATTTTCAAGACCCCTGTTGTCCTCAGATGTTTCATGCATGTAATCATCTTCACTAGGAGGAGCAAAACTTCCATCGATATCTTGGTCATGTTCCATATCATCAGTGACAGCTTCGGATCCACCATAATTCTGCACACTACCAAAAGACTCAATGTGCTCAGTTGGCATCGAATTCAGATTAGATTGAGGAGTAGTTTCCATGGACTGCAATATGTTACCACTATTATCCGTTACTCCAGCTTGACTATGATCGGGAGGTTTAGACGAATTCTCACCCCTCCCAGTATTAGACTCGGCGGCATGGACATGTTCCTTGGTCACCAACTCCAGAACCTTTACAAGTCCTGTAACAATCTTTGGTGAATCGGCATGATCCAGGTCCAACACACGAAGAGTTCGAGTCAATGACTGAACCAGACCAATGTCTATGAAAGTAACAGAAGCCTCTGCTGATATATTTGAACCTGTAGGCGAGCGAGCAGTCATAACATCATTGAGCAGATCAATAAAAGCCTGGATATCACTTCCTGGAGGCCTAAAGCCTTCAGAAGAATCAGCAAAGTCATTCAAAATATAACTGATCTCTGTAAAGACTCTCCTCCTTGCCTCAGTGGAGCGAACACAAGTTGCCACCAAAAACTGGCCAGCCCTGCTTGCCAATTTATGCCTCCAGTCAATATCTGTTTTCTTGTCCTTTCTAGAATTCCTCGAATATGGAAGAAATTTATGAAGAATATGGTGAAATATACCACTGGTGCAGTAATCTGCAGCACCACGTTGTGGAGTACCCTTGCAACTGCTAACTTCAACATCTCTCCGGAGTAGAACATGAACAGATGAAGCATACATCAAGATAATCTCAGTCAAGAGCTTCAAAATAAAAACAATCTTTGCCAATGATGCAGAAGACTCCTGGTTATTGACTTCATTCTCTTCAGATACAGAGGCAACAGCTTTTCCTTTCCCCTTGCAAAGAGAAACATCAATGTCCATATCTGTTGATGAGCCATCCCTTGTCACAGTGTCATCTTTCAATGGAGGTAGAAAAGTTACAACTGAATTCAAAAGAAGCTCAATTACATTTATGAAACTCTGAGGAGGTTTTCGATGAACTTTCACACTCTTGGAATTTGTGTCTGTATGTTTAGCATGCCCATTTGCAGGAGCCAATGAGCTCATACTACCCAAACCATCCTTCCCATCATTAGCCTGTTGCTTATCTTTCTCCTTCTCTTTTTCTTTGCATTTGTCCTTGTCGCGATCTTTCAGCAAAACAATGTAGGGCCTTTCACCCACCACCTCAACTTGGCACACAGACTGAGCAGCCTGCATGAAAATCACCGGATCCCGTGAAATGACAGAAGTTAAATTCGAGAGAAAATTCCGGGGTGTAAGTCGTCCGTTGGTCTGCCGATTAGCAGCAGTCACAACACTGTGCCGAATCTCAGATTCCATTGCTTGCTGAAGAGTCTGGTGATCTTCGAGGATATGACGAATTATGGTAGCAGCAACATTGTCGAACCCAACAAACAAGCTACTCGCTGGCAAGGAAAGCAGCAAAGGCAAGCCTCCTGCTTCAAGAAAACTAAGAGCAACGGAATGAGTTCTCGTAAGAGCAGAACATAGCTGCAGAACAGCATGCATCGCTTCAGACGGAAGCTGGTTCCTGATGCAACCACAAGCGATCTCAACAAGTCTCTTCTGCTCCTGTATATCTATATGTTTTAAAGAGAATCCCAAAGTTGACTGCAACTTGTTTTGCCTATCCTCATCAATTATGATAGATGGCTGGCTACCAACATCATCCTTCTTCAACAGCTCTGAGATATCAGCATTTAATTTTTGATCCACTTGAGCAAGCCGATCAAGAGCAACAAAAGCTGCTGTGACCCATTTTGGAACTTGAGATGTCTCCCTGCCACATGAACCAGAACTCCAGGTTGAAAGAAGATCTGAAGCAACTTTAACCAAGCCACTTTTTGAAGCAACTTCTCTTGCCGCAACATCTTCATTAAGAATTAAAGCAAGAACATGAAAAAGAGCAGATAGCATGTTACTGTTTCCACCTTCAGTAATGTTATCACAAAACTTCACTTGCTCTATAATAAATGAAATAACACTGGCCCTGTGTTGACCATCATTCTGGGAGCATATCATTACAAGAAGATCCCGAACTGGAAAAGCTAGAGAGTCCTTCATTTGCAGAAGTTTCCTACATGTTGACAATAAATCATCAACAGGGGGGAGTTGGATAATTTCTTCTTCAATATGCTGACTAGTCTCATTTGCAGCATCTTCCTTTGTATCTGTTACTGAATTCCCAAGGGACATCGCAAGTGCACGAGCAAGTTCATCGTCTTCTAGAATTTCCTCAGGATGTGAGAACAACCATTCCATTGCCAGCTCCACACTATTTGATCCAACCTGCCTCAAAGCCTCTTCTGCTCGGGACCTAGAAAATCCCATCTCCACAATTGTTGAAATAGTTGATTCATTAGGTGGAGGACCGGATACACGAGCCCCAGTGGTATTGACATCTTTCAATTCAACCCCAGAATAAATGTGCCGAAGGATGGAAACAACGGATGCAATGAATTCATAATTGCAATCTGTAAATTGCGGGCGAGTCCAAACAGGAAGCACTACCTTCAGTACCATGGACTGGAGGACCCTCACAAATGTCTCTGCATCTCGTGGAAATGGAATATCTCCACTCACTAGAGGCTGAGCAAGTAAGTGTTTTGTAAAAGGAGATAGAACAAAGGATGAAGTCACCAGGTGATCCATGAGTTTACCATAGCTAGCCAAGGGACCATATATCCACGAATGATCTGTCTCTTCTACTTCATCTTGCTTTAAAGTCCCTTCATCGGTGTCCATAGGAGAAGCAGGAGCCCTGTTAATAGCAAAAAGCAACTGACTGGTAGCTTCAAAGGTGGTCAATATTGATTGAACGCCACCACATGCATACAAACAATTCAATAAAACTGGATTACATGAGTCCGGCTTGTCCAGTAGAACGCCATCTATGAAATCAATAACCTTGCCGAAGTATCGACACTTAGTTGAAACAGATGCCTCTAATCCAGACTGATTGACAGGACCTCCAAAATTCATATGGTCTAATGCAATGGAGGCAAAGGTAGAAGCCACAGATTTTGCAGAAGGGGACACATTCAACAAATCATCTCGTCGGCGAGAAGGAAGCACCATTACCTTCCCCAACTCTTGAAACAAATGGGTAATATCAAGTGACAATGATCTCACCATATCACAACACGAAGAATAATATGATCTCTGCTTGTCATCTTCCTTTCTACCACTGGCCACAGCATCATCAGAAGTACCAGGCTGATGTGGTTGATGAGTGGCTCCAAGCTGCATGTTTGAAGGACCATCAACAGTTTGTCGTTGAAGACCAGAAGCTCGAGTGAGATCACGGTATAGGTTTATGAGGTCAAAAAACTGGGATTCAAAACTCCATCCTGACATCCTTCTTCTAAGTAAAGGATCGAGAAACTGCCTGAAAGAGTTGAATCTTAGCTCTTCAGCTTCACTAGTATTCAATTCTGACTGCTGTGACTCATCACCCAAACTGGCACCATCATCCTCTATCTCAAGCTTTGCATCTTCCTGTAGAGCAATCTGCCATAGAACTTCACGATGAACACGTCCAATGTCTTCCAGAACATCCTTGCTACCATTTCCAAATTCTGTAAGCAATGCAGCTATCCAACGATTGTCTTTTGAGGCAGCAAGAAACAGAAGGAACTCAACAAGAAAAAGTGAAGAAAAGATTTCACTATCCGGAATCATCTTCGGGTCCAGCAGAAATGATCCTGAAGCCACACTGAATCCCATCAAAGCTTTTTTCAGATGATCTCTGAGAGAAGAACAGAAGGCGCGTGCTAAAGGAGCAGAGTGATGTTGAGCAAAGCCCTTAAAGACCATGGTGCTATGTAAAGCTATGGACATCCCTTCCGATGATTGTGAAATGCTGGGCCGTAATATAAGTTTCAGTAAAGATTCAATTCCTGACCTCTCCACAAATAATCGACATGTTTCAGAATTTTCCGTTGACCTATGAACAAGTACCATCACATGAAAGATGGAAAGTTGGATAAACTGCTCATCGCTCATGCTATCTACAGTTGACTCTGACGCACCAACCACACAGCAAGGGCCCACATTTTCCTTATCCTCGGAATACATTTCCATGGCAGTACTTCCATTGACTTTTCCCAATGAACCTGTACACTTATTGTCTTCTATAGAAGCAAGTCTGTTCACAATTTCAATGATAATATCAACACCAATACTTCTCAATGAAGATACATGCCGCAAAAGCTCTTCCACAGCATTTGCCAAAGGAACAATACCGTCATTCATTGCCACTACATATTTCTTGTCAGTGAAAACCTCGACAAGGAACCGTAATGCTGAGGTTTCTCTCACTCTCTCCAAGCCTTTGGCATTAAGACAGATGGCCCCAAGACCATTAGGAACGCATGTAAGAGCCTTCGAAGAAGGAAGTATTCCAGCTACAACTGATGATAGAAAAGCATCAGGAAGACCCAACTCATGCAAAGCAGGAAAACATGTAGGGTCTTTGTGAATCATTTCACTCATAACAGTCACAGCTGAGGAATAAATATCACCTCCAAATTTATCCACATTTCTAAATATCTGTGATAGAGTGGCAGGTAAGGAAACATCATGAGAGTTCTGGGATCTTGTAGAGTTGGCAGGGGCATAAGTAGCAGAACCGAGAGCCTTTAGTAAAATCCTGATAAGCCTTTTTTGTGAATACGAACAATCATCATTAAATCTTGAGCATTCACCAACACTCATTGAATTATAATCTGCTCCAGCAGAATCAATCAATCTGTGTACTTCAATCTGCAATCTATGTGCCAAGAGCTCTACCCCACCCAAATCTTTGAAAAGAGTCACTGCTGAATTGCTATAGTCCATAAGCTTTTGTAGTGTCTTCATGGCTAAACAAACAAGATGCATATGTGTGGGGTCAGTGTCCTCCAAAAGAGGTAAAAATGTGGGTACCATTCCTGAGCCCCGAATAACACTCCCAGAACTTGAAGAAGATATGACATGAAGCAGGTAAAAGTGTAGAAGTGCTTCAACAAAGGCAACAGATGAAGGATCACTGGAGTTATTCAGTGACAAAATTGCTCTCTGCAGCACATTAAGGAGAATCATTCGGTTACCCCCTGCAAAACTGATGCTTGATCCACTCAAAATGCGTGCCCGCTCATGAGATGATGAATATGCAGCTAACTGAGCTCCCAAGGCATGCATTGCAAGTGTTCTAATGGTTCCAGAAATAGTTTCCTCAGACCTCACAATCCTGATCAACTCGTTTGTATATTCTGGCTCATTGGCAAAGAAGGAAACAAGTTCTTCATGGGAGTCACTAGATTGAACAAGCACTATAAATGCAAGTATACAAATCCTGCTGTACAGCCTGCATATTCTGGGAGAACGAAAGGCATGGGCATATCTGATTCTTGTTAGCAATGAGAACCTGTGCTCAGGAGGTACATTGTACTGCTCCATGCACAGCTTCATGAGTGACAGATCATCCTCCTTTCGTAAATGGAGATCTGGGATGTGTATAACACTCATGCCAGAAGATACTGCACCATCACTGGATTTTTCACTAGTACTTTGAGAATTAACACCATGCAACTCAAAGTAAAGGGTAGACCCCAATCGGTACTGAGACTTGTCGCAATCATTTTGTACATCGGATGGAAACAAGGACAGCCCTTCCTCTTGAGTTTTTTCATTCCCAATAACACATGAATACAAACCCAAGCCCTCTTCCTTGCTTCCCCAACCTTGTGCAAGCGAGAGGAGACAGCTATTCACTGAGCCACATCCAACCAGCTTACCACTTGCATGTAATTTCGATGGGTTTATCTTTACCAATGCAGAAAGAGTCTCCAAGGTCGCAACAATAATCTCAGGATCTGTTGATGCAAGCAAGAGCTTGAAATGCTGAAGAAACATTAGGCAGTTTAGTGAAAAATATATTATCAGAGACTTGAGTAAATTAGCACAAAGTGTGCATAAATAACTAATTTCTGAAAAATAAAAATGCAGCATGGTTTCACCTTTAACTACAACAAAATAAAATATTTGTGATTCCACCATTTCCAGCATACCTCTAAGCCACTAAATGAACTCTTATTATGGCAGTTCTCTATAATGATTTGCATCACTCGCAAAATTTGTAGAACTGCTTGCTTCGGAAATGGACTATCATCGTCAATATTATCAATCACGAGAAGGTCTTTCCTAGAAGATAAGAATGTCTTGAAGTATGTATCAAAATGCAGAAACAATGGCCTCCAGTGATGAAAATTTCCCTGAAATGAAAGGAAGAAATTAGCAAAAGAGCGAGAGTCAAAATAAACAAAACAAAAAAAAAACCCTTAAAAGATAGCACAGAAGCAGAAGGTCACAACCTTGTTGTACTCCCAACGAAATCCAGAAAGAGGTATTGCTATATCCTGTAATGGACACTGGATCACCTTGTCAATGAATGCCTTTATTTTTGGAGGCTGCAGAAAAATGCACATTATCCAAAAGATCACTTCACGGTGGAGAGAAAAAAGGGTGCACTATATATCTTTTCATGGGCTGGGCCCACTGGATGATACCAAGACAAGGGGAAAACATGCCCCATCTCTTCAGAAGAAATGAACCCAGGCTACCAGCACGACATACAAAACTTTACCGAGATGCAGCATCTACATATAAATATAACTATGCCTGTCTAACAAGAGCCATGTGGGCAGCAGTCTCAATAACTTTGGCTAGGTAGCACGATCATAGATTCACAATATTTCATAGGGACATCTATCCCAAGTTCCACTGCATTTTGCCTCAGATCAGCAACAGAGGCTAGAAGTCCTTTCGCTTCAGCCCATGCCAGCAAGTAGGGCAGATATTATGCATCCCTCCCCCCCTTCCCAAGCAAAAGAGTAATTGGAAAATGACATGAAAGGGAGGAATAAGTAAGATTCTCTTTTCTTGATTTTCCTTCCTATCTTCATGGGAAGTGGATGTAAAGAGAGATAAAATCATAACTGAGTTCTGATACACAAACAAGAGTATGTCTGCTGTTTAACATAACAGATTCAAACCAATAGTTTTTTGGTTTGCTATAGTGTAAATAGTTACTGCCCCCATTTCCCACTCCTTGGGCCCCCCAAAACGACTTCTATTATAAGACGGATCAACTATATTTAGGTAACAACATATTGTGCAAAACCCCAAAACTTCACACAGGGAGAACAACTTCCAAAGCAATGACCCCACAGAGAGAGAGAGAGAGAGAGAGATTAAAGACGACCCCTTTGAAGTTGAGGGGAGTAGCAAACAAAAGGAGGCTTAATTTACAAATAGGGTTGGACAAGTTGAATGGCTACCACTGTTACCTAATTGACACTCCTTTTTAGTTTCAACGGTAAACAAATTACTGAGATTTCCAAAAATTATTATTTCATGTTGTGGATGTACATACCAAACAAATGTGAACACCAGATGGACCCAAACCAATAGCTGCGTAATATGAAGGGGCAACTGGTCTACAGTGACAACCTAATAAGTACAAGACCCAACACACACACACACACAGACAAAGGAGGGGGGTGAATGGCACACCTAATGAAGTTCAAGAAAGTTTTGGAAACAAAAATAAGGCCCAAGTAACAATAAAAATGGTTAGTCCGATTAACATGTGTGTGTGTGTATTGTGTACACACACACACACACACACACACACACATATATATAGAGAGAGAGAGAGTTCTAAATTCCATGACTTCTAAATATCATCTTAATTGATGAGATTTACCTTTTCTGATGGAGCATAAATAGATGTGAAAACCTCCTATGAATATTCCCTTCAAAGATTAATATTTCCCAGTTTTTTTAACTCAATATCGATTGTGGTGTTCTGAATTCTTAGTATCAATAGGGATTATCTTTCCCTGACTTATCAATCCTGATGTCCAATTCTCATTGAATGTAAACAGTTTTCATACCCCATTTTTCATGACATATAAAGGAATTTAGCTTATGACTAAGCTAGATATTTGACAGTAAATTTTTCCGACAGTCATAAAATTGAGTTTTTTAGACCACAGATGTTCATTGGACACAACTTCATTTCACCCCAAAATAAAGTCATAAAACCAATTAATAAACAGACCCTTGAATTAAATTGTCACGTGAAATAATGGATACTTCAAAGTTCAAATTCCAATGTTAGGGAGCACAAAAAATTAATGAAATTATTCCCAAATATGCCAAAACATTCAAGCATTGATTACATTGTGCTTTACAAAATCAAATTAATAACATACCGATCAAGGCTCAAAATTAACAACAGACACACAATCCAAACCAATGCAGATTAACCAGCACCATCAATCCAAAATTGCAAATATCTATGCAGCAAAAAATAAAAGAAATCCAAAAAAGCCAAAACATACCAATCAGTATAGCAACCACATTACAATACCAAAAACCACATAATCATGGCGACACCCATTTTGCAAAATATATTTTTTAAACAAACAAAGCCTTAAGAAGATCAGAATCAATAGGCCCTGACAGTCACCAACCCAATAATCCATTACAACAACAATCCTAAAAGTAACCGAAAAAAAACAAGAAAACTGACCCGCTATACATACATACGCATATGCCCATATATAAAGCAAGATAGAGAACGGGCGACTAACAGAAGAACTTACAGGCTCAGAGTCCAGTCTAACAGAAGGGCCTAGGGTTCCTTCGCTGGACAGAAGTTGCCGCAAACTCGATGGCAAGCTCGATCTTAGGGTTGCCATATCACCCCTACTTTTCTACTTCTATCAACTGTAAAAACAAAGACACGTCAAACGATTGCACCACAAAATCAACATCAGAAGTTCAGATTGATCACAATTATAGATAAATTCCAATAAAAATAACAAGGGCTTCAATTTAATACATAAAAAAAAAAACCAAATCAGAAAGAGGTAGATAGAGATAGACGTAGATAGGGGTGTAGATGCATAAATAGAGAGAGGGACCTGGTTGAGGAGAAAGAGGGAGAGACGACTGGTGCGTGCACATCCAAAGGTTGGAGTCACTGTACAGAGGAGCGTTGTATTGTATATAGAGAGAAAAAGAGAGAGAAAGTGGAAACCCCAGAGCGTAGAGAGAGAAACAGATGGGGAGAGGAGAAACTAGAGAGAGAGAGAGAGGGTTCCTTTTGTGTGTGCATTTGGTTTAACCCTCGAAGACGACGCTTTTATACAATTAGTTGACACAGTCCCTTCCACCACAAGGTCTACAAAGAAATGCGGTATTTTCACTTTGGCCCCTTGATTTTTAGTATTTTCTTTTTTGCCTCACTTTTATTTCTTCTTTCTTATTGTTTTCCTTCTATCAATCTTAATGATTAAGAAATGACAAAAGAAAATTAAAAAAGAGAAAAATTGCACATGTAATAGTGCTTAGATGACTGTAAAAGATAATATGTCAATTCACCCTTGACATGATTTTTGGAAAGTGCACAAGGACTAATTACAAACAATGAAAAATGTGGGAAATTAAATTTGAAAAATTCGTGTTTAAAAAAAAAAGAAAATATAATGGAGGAGAGAGGTTTCCAATACGAGTTATTCGGATCCTTATAAATGACACTTTTCATAAAAATAGGACTAAATAATGAAAAATGTGAGAAATTATTTTTGAGAATTTTATTTTGGTAAGTTTTAAAAAAAAAAATTAAGACAAAATAATGAGGAGAAGGCTTCTAAGGCGAGTTATTCAAATCGCTATAAATGACACTTTTCATAAAATTAGAACTAAGTTTTTAGTTTTTAATTTTTTTAAAAATAAATAAATGAGGCATGGACCTATATTGAAGCCTAGGGGTAGAACCAAAAGTTCTAAATTGAAAATATAAATAATTATATGGATAAGGATTAGTCATGGAAAACATACAAGATGACCGAAAAAACAGAAAAAAGTAAAAAGTTGACCTATTTTTCTTTATCAACTTATGGTCAAGCTTGTTTTAAATTTTCAACTTGAGTGCGTCTTACAAGTAATGGGACCATTACATAAGGCATCTCCTACATGGGATTGGTTCAAGCTTATGGAATCCAAGATGTTCCATAAGTAACATTAAAGAAAAATTGAAACAATCCAAGAATCACGTCGGTGCAATGTCTAGAAATAACTTGCGTAATTTTATCATTACATTTAAAAAAAAATATTTTTGTGCCTCGAACTCAATGACGTTTATGTCATAATGGAACAATTTTACATTGTGTTAAAGTCTGTCCTCTAAAAAATATAATACTCATTGAACGTGTTCGGTTCAATTGTTCCTTTTAAAAAATTTAAATAAAATTACTTGCTCATATTCCTTTCTTTTCTCTTAACTTCATGATAGAACCAATAATGATTTATTTGGGAAAAAAAAAGGTTTGAGTATTAAAAACCTTTAGTATACGCAAAAAAATATGTGTATTAGAATAGATACACGTGTTGAAAAAAAATGTGTGACAAAAGTAACTTATATTATGTACTAATAAAATATTTACTTAGTCATACCGAAATACTAAGATCTTATACTAAACTAAAATGTACATTCAATATGATGTCCTATAAGAGGGAAAAACAAAACATTGTTTTGTAATTGTCAATGGTAAACAAGTTGGAAGTGATAAAGACTTTCTAGCTTGTTGCACAAAAGTAGTCGCATATGAAACAAGATTGACACGGGTTATGTATTCGGATGTTTTGAGTTTGAATCTTAACAATTCTTTGGGATCAGGTTATTAGAGATTTATCTCTCATAAATACCCTCGTACCGGCGTGGATAATTTGCCTTTGACCGGACGAAAAAGAAGATTAGTTGAGGTATACGTAAACTAATGCAAATACCCCTAACCATGGAAAAAAAAATGGAATTGGATTAGGCTCTTCTTCACCTACTGGAACTGGTTTTCTCTCATTTTACTACACAATCAAGTCTATAGGGATAAAAACTACCTTGTCTCCTAGGAGGCCATGGCTCCTCATGAGTTTTTAAAACCCACCTATTTAATCACTGTTTGACCATTAATTTCCAATTCCTTCAATTGAGGTAAAACATTAAAAAAGTATTAAGGTTTTGAAAAATCTATACAAGGTTCCTAAAAATATATCATTTTTATACCCAACCAGATGGATCAAATGATCAGATACCACCATATTGTCTCGTCAGATTAGTTCGAATGGAAAAATCTCTAGGATTATTATTTCACACACACAAACTTTATATTGTAATACAAATCAAGAGAACGCGTGATTTCGATTTAAAAAAAAAAAATATAGTATACCAAATAATCCAACAAATAAAAAAGGTGTCCCAACTACACCTTCCACCCTTTCATTGAAGATAAAAGATACTATTTGAATATTGCATTTATAACCAATGAGCTGCTATGGTCAAAAATATTTCTTGTGGGTCAAGCAAGGGATTAGGCTAATGATAGTAATTTGTTAGGCCAATGGGATTGTCTTTTGTTCCATTGCAACGGATTAGGCTTAAAATATGAGGCGCTGGCCACTGCTTGCCACGTCAACGCCAATGTGGAATATTCCTAGACTAGATGCCAAGCTCATTGTCCTCATCAAGTCCCTTTCTTTTTATCTTTGGGCATCTTTTAATCCCGAGATTAGCATTGAATGTAAATAATAAAACTGTAAATGAAAACAATTATTAATATGTATTTGAGCTCGTTAAAAATTATTCAATTATAAAACAAACCAACCTCGAGTCTAATTTTGAGCTCGTTTAGTTAACAAGTCCACCTTATTCATCACATCAAATTCAGGAAAAAAAGAGCTCAAATATACACACATACATAGTTGCATATAATATGATACACCCATACAAAAATAAGCCAAATTTTACTTTTAAACACGAGCCTAAACTTAAATACAAGTTCAAGTTCAGTTTGTTTAATCCAACGGGCTAACTCAAGCCCGAATTTAAATAAAAAACGAATTAACAAGCGAACTTGGTGAGGATATTTGGGAAGTGTCACAATTCGAGCTTGAATTTTCTTCACAGACTAACAAGCTCAGCTTAGTTTGATTCATTTGCAATCTTAGCCCTCCAAAAATGGTCTCATCACATTCCTTGACCAAATTCTCTTAGGAACCGACCCCACACTACATAAATTAATCAAAATCCTTGCTGCCATATACAACTTAGGTATTGGTCTTTGGCCAATAAGCCCAGTCCTCGAATCCTACTTTTATAGTTCTCCAAAGAAATCCTTGTTTTAATCAGCTTGTACATTGAAATTTGCGACCCAACATACCCTTTTTCAATTAGATCAAATGCAGCAAAACTAATTCCAAATAAACGCCTTAACACTTCCGTTGGAAGTGAATTTCCCTTGACTTTTTGTGGAAGAGGTGAATCTTCCCTCACCCATATACAGGGTCAGTAGTTCTACCAGCAGCCATACCAGACCATTACTGTGCCTGCTCCGATCTACCATGAATGTTACAAGCAACAAGACCAGCTATGAAACCAATTGGTGAAAACAACAAATCATATAATGCATCTGCAGAATTATCAAGAAAATTGGGTGATTATATTTATCCAGGTTTATGGTATATACAGATAGTATTCAACTTCCCTCTCTTGCCTGCAATTACAACTGATTGGATGAACTCTCGCTCCACTTCTCTCACTATCTTCCCTTCCACCGTCCCCCTCTACTACCAGCAGATAGAAATAAAACTTTTACAAACATACCTTGCATGCAGTCATTTCATTGTGTTAGAAGCTTCGAGTCACATGCCACTATCTTAACTCGACCAACATTCTCGTGGCCCTCCTCGTTCTTAAATGTAGCATCTTGTAAAATGAAGGTCCAAACATTGTCACAGAACCTATAGGTGTGCAGATGTCCCTGCAGCAGAAACGTTAAAAGAATCAGCAGAATTGAATTACATAATAGTTATCAACTCACCTTAACATCATGTGTTTTCGGATGTGGAAGGGAAGGAAAATATACAAGGGATAAGGAAATGTCAGGCAATGCACCAAGCACAGGAATGAATAACCATATGCACATACAGCACCATTGTGAATCTTTACAGAGGGAGCAAGGTCGTGCACATGGTAAAATCACAGTATTGCAAACTAAAGCCAGTCAATCACCGTCAACATAGTTCACTTCCCATCCACATAGACATAAAAATAACATGAAGGTAACTAAAAAATTCAAGAGCCATAATTCTGAGTCTGGCAGTACATCCAGTTTGGAGTAATACTGTACCAAAAAGCAGCCAACCTGGGCTTAATCCAACATGACTTGTTATAAGGTCGAACATAAACCAAACTGTTGGCTCATTTATATTCAATGATGATCATACTAATATAATACATGGTATTAAAGGAAACTAGCCACATCTCTACAGTGTTGTAATAAGAGGAAAATAATACACAGAAAAAATCCATCAAATATGATAGTTATAAGTATTAAATTGCACCATGGTTCAAAATCACGGTATCAGACATCATCTCGGAAAGCAAGGAGACACAATGGTTGTAGTGTCGTGAAACGGTATCAAGCAATATGTACAAAATGTTCCATGGAAGAAGAAATTTATCACGAGAGATTTGATGAGGACTCGGACAACTCGGGGTTGCCTTGGAGACCTTTTGGACTATTTGGTCGACTTGTTAGAGACTCGTGGTGTATGCATAACATCAAACAAAATCGGATCAGAAGGTGCCAAATTGGATATGATCCGGTTGAGTCGTTGGGTATTGACCGATACTTTGAACCACAAATAGCAAGAATTTCCATTTATTTTGAACTAATAGAGCCCCCTGTGTGACTATGGCCATTTCTTTTTCTTCTTGAGCTAAAAATTCATTATGCTCTAACTGTTCTATACATAAAACTTGATGCTTGTACTATAAGAATACGAAGAAGGAAAATACAAAAAACAAAAGTGGATCAGCCCTTTCTATAACTCTAACGAACATATTACTAACTGAGCTTATTTACCAATAAGAAAAGGAAAAAACTTTAAACAACAAAAATATGGAGGCATACTACACAAAACTTAATACACCCAGAAATATAAAATGTTACAATGTAAAACATGCAATAAAACATCGAGATAATTGGTATACACACAACCCAGAAGATATATTACTTTACACAGCATCTCCCCTATAAGCAATAGAGATCACACATATTTTGAGTTAAGCATCCGGTGAAGACAGAGTGAGGGCACATTAAACTGGTTTCCTAATAAGATGCTAGCAGTCTAGCAACTAGTTATGCAAATGTATTAATCAGAAATGTGGCAAGGTTTACACTCTAAAGCCTCTTATCAAGGCACCTACCACTTATCTAGTTGCTTTCTATATATAAATATCCTCTGCCAGACTAAAGGAACAAGAATAACAACTTAGTATAATTACTTAGGGTTGGGCAATTCAAAGGCAACACAACAAAGAATAAAAGCAAAACAACAACATATGTTGTCCAGTTCATTTTTCCATGTCTACCGTCTCTCCACCCACACAACAAAACATCTAATGTATCTTAATGTTTTCTGTGGGTCCAACATAAGGGCTCAACTTGTGGAAGACAGATTTCTGTGGAAAAGTGTGTAACATTGAATATTTTCCAAGGGACAACTTTGAAGTTTAAAGGAGAACATAGGTTTATACAGATTAGACACTGTACACTTGGGTTCAATTCCATCTGATAATTAACAAGCAAAGATTTCAGAATGGCATCAAGCCCTTTGCCAAACTACAGGCCAAATGAATGCAACTGGATTGGGTTCCAGTCATCGCATGATCCATTGGCAGGTCAGCCTTTCCCTAATGTCCATGCCATGTTGATACAAAAATATTTCGGAACTAGACTAAGAGTCTATGAGCATTTGTGGGCATATGAGTTATTTATCCAATAAGCACAGGCTTCAGTGCAAGTAGGACTTAGACAAACTAAAGACCCCAATTTCAGCTCAAAGATAAGAAAGAATCTCAGAGAAATGAGAAGGGATATGTCAGGAAAAAACTGATATTAACTATATCATTGATCTAAGCCATGACAATTAAGCAGGAGAACCATCATTTCCAAATTCCAAGAAAGACATAAGGTTTTGGACCCTAACCATTCAAATTTCTGAACATAGGTACATAAAAAACACTAAATAGGCCGCTCATGCATTCACCACATCCAAGAGTAAATAGAGATTAGGTCCACTACAATGGCTTGGTGAGCAAACATGTGATCCTCCTTGAATTCAGCAGTACATATCCGAAAGATAAAACTCAATAGCATGGAACAAAAAAAGCCATTAAAGCAATTGGCATCCAATCACTCCTAGCCATAGCATTGGTTATCGATAAGCTAGTGACCATAATACGTTGTGGAGATAAAAGCAAAAATTAAAGAAAGAACATCTACCTTGATGGAGACCTTGCTTTTGACTTGGGTTTCCAGAGCTTCAGTCATCGACTAAATTCATAAAACAATGTAAGCAGAGAAGATAATCAAAACCATCTAGGTATGTATATCCATAACACCAAAAGCTAAATTTTCCTTATAAATATGTTTCTGAATTTCAGTGGACTGTTCGAATAACTGTAAAGCTAACCTTGTCGAACTGAACGAGGACTTGAATGGCGAGTTCAGGACTGAGACCTCCGTTCGAGACCATCTCGTCAAGTGTTTCAGTCAAACACATGCCGATTGTGGACCTACGGTACAATTCAAACGTCGCCATTCTTCTTCCTTATGATCAAGATCAATCAAAAACTTATTTAAATCAGACAACTTCAAAATCTAACTAACTACTAAACCAAAACAACTGTAATTTCAAACAAACTGAATCAATTAAAAATGATATATATGCAATCGGTGTACATAAATCCCATAAATCATCGAAATATTAGCAAGAATACTCAAGATACTGAACAAGCATAGACAAATATACACAATTTCTCTTATGTATACATATATCTGTATATATACAGATATTTAGAGAGAGAGAGAGGATGGAACTGTAAGGATAGATCGAGTAAGATATAGAAATTACAGTTGATGGTCGGAGAGAGAAGACCACCGAGGGCAAGGTTGGATTTTCTCGTTCTGTTCGTTTGTGTTTACAAAGCTTGAGAGGTGAGAAAGAGAGGGAGAGGAATTGGGCTTTTATACCCTAATTTTTGTAGCTGAAGGGGTTATATACGATAGCGGGGTTGAGGAAAAGCCGTGAGGACGAAATTGCCCTCAATTTTTTTCCAAATCTCAAACAGTCCAAACCTATTTCGTGATCTTTTATGCATAAAAAATAAAAAATAAATAAAATCAATTTCATCCCAACAAAAATATATATATTTAACTATTTTTATTTAAAATAGTATATATGCATTTGTGTAGATATAGTATATCTACCCTCGACTAAAATAAAACAAAATATTAAAGAGATCATTTGATTACAATATAAAATGGTGAATTTTAGAATTATAATAAATTAAAATTTTTTAATTCAATCTTATAATATATTTAGTTGCAAAAATACACTATGTATCATATATAATCTTATTTCAAATGTTTATTTAAATAATACACTATACTCGTACTCTTGAGTCGATTATAATTTTACCTGAGGATATGGCATTATAATCTAGTTTAAGCATATTAAGTTATAAATTTATTATTTTATTCATTAAATAAATAAAAACATTAATAATTCGACAAAATTAATAGTTTTTTAATCAATATGTAATTAATACTATATTATTCCACTCTCAATTTAGTATCTTACTAAATACTGGATTATAATGCACAGTATTCTTGTCTCATATTTAATATTATATTTTATCTATACAGAATTAACTTATATTATATAATACAATTCATTCTTTTACAATATAGTAACCAAACAAACCATAATATTCTTATGTGCAAAGTCGAGTTAGATCCTTTATATTTTGAAAACAAAACACATATGGGAATTCGTCGGTTTAAAACATAATTTTTTTAATTCCTTAGGTGGGAAAGAGTTGTTTTCATTAATAAGTAAAATTTGTGAACTTTTTATGTAATTAGTAAGAAGGGTATTCTTGGTATAACATACGAAATTTGAGGTGTCATGGTCTCATTTTCAAGAAAATAAGAGGTGCTTTATCAATTGGTAAAGACACGAAAGGAATTACTTTTGACCCATTGGACAAAAAAGGAGGACACAAAAAGAATAAACAATGTTCAGCAGGCTCTCAGAATGAGATTATTGAGCTTGAGCCTGCGTGGTTATATTACTAAGCACTCAAGAAGCCCAATAGAAAAACCTAGAGCCCATGAAAATTGGAACAAGAATAAGCCGAGTGCTACAGGGATTGTTTGGATGGATTTTTGGAAAATGTTTAAATTGATTTTTTCAAAATTTTTTAAGCTTAAATTCGTCTTTATAAAGATGAGATTTAACATTGTTCATACACATATTTAGTATGCAATACATACACATGTAGAACTCACGAATATATTATAATTATTAACAACCATTTATCTTGTAAATAATTATTTTACCCTTGATCAATCTAATTCATACACATTTTAAAGGGTACAATTATCTTTTGCATTTNAAGAGTTGTTTTCATTAATAAGTAAAATTTGTGAACTTTTTATGTAATTAGTAAGAAGGGTATTCTTGGTATAACATACGAAATTTGAGGTGTCATGGTCTCATTTTCAAGAAAATAAGAGGTGCTTTATCAATTGGTAAAGACACGAAAGGAATTACTTTTGACCCATTGGACAAAAAAGGAGGACACAAAAAGAATAAACAATGTTCAGCAGGCTCTCAGAATGAGATTATTGAGCTTGAGCCTGCGTGGTTATATTACTAAGCACTCAAGAAGCCCAATAGAAAAACCTAGAGCCCATGAAAATTGGAACAAGAATAAGCCGAGTGCTACAGGGATTGTTTGGATGGATTTTTGGAAAATGTTTAAATTGATTTTTTCAAAATTTTTTAAGCTTAAATTCCTCTTTATAAAGATGAGATTTAACATTGTTCATACACATATTTAGTATGCAATACATACACATGTAGAACTCACGAATATATTATAATTATTAACAACCATTTATCTTGTAAATAATTATTTTACCCTTGATCAATCTAATTCATACACATTTTAAAGGGTACAATTATCTTTTGCATTTTTAACCCCTTAACCCATCTTCTCAAACTCACACCCTCTAGGTTTGACGAAACCAATGATCATAGGTTTAATATTTGAGTCAGCTATGGGTTGAGTTTGGAACTTAGGATTGAATTTTTAATCCAAACATGGATTTACCGGTTTGGAAATCCTTTAAACTATTTTTCCTAAACACATCTTATCAAACCCCCCCATACCCCTTTACCTATTGTCCCCAAACCCATCTTATCAAACCCCCCATACCCTCTTACCAAACAGTCCCTAGAGGTTTTAATTCAAGTATCTAATACATGGCAATTTCATAGATCGGACTATGAGAAATTTATATCTTATGAATACTCTAGTTTTGACGTGGATGATCTGATTTTGATTGGATCAGAAAAGAAATTAGTCGAGGTACGCATAAGTTGACTCAAACACCCTGACCGTTGAACTAAAAAAAAAAATCTAATCTATTATATCTATTTGATTAGTTTTGAGTCCCAATATTAGATCAAATCCACTAAATCTTATAGTTATAATTGATTAAGTTTTAAAATTGTGTTTAGCAATTCAGTTCAACTAGTAATTTCCTACAGTAAAAATCAAATCTTTCATATTCTAATGAAACAACTTAACTATATTCCCATTCTTTCTTCAAATGATGACTCCTTTTTTCTTTTTCAACTTCTCATCTTTTTACTCTCGTCTTTCTACAACACAAGGCTTGGGGGTAGGTCAAGATAGAAATGCTATGATGGGATAAGATACAAATCTTGCACTGAATCCATCATTAATATTAATTGGAAGCTAAAGAGTTGCCATGTATATGGTTAATATGTGGTGGATATACAAGTGTTCTTATGTAAATACAAAGTTTAGTTGTTCCAATCTAAGTCAACTAATTAGGTCAACAAGTTAGTTATAAATGACATTACTGTATAATAAGTGAACACGTAACCCTTAATCTCTTTTCCCCGAGATTAGCACAAAGTTTGATTTTCAAACAGAGTTTGTGTAGGGGGTGATGCATCGTGAATTTTACAGATATTTGACTAGAACTTCAAGTGATACGTCAAATATTTGCAAATGGGAATTAATCTCTCTAAATTGAGACAAGATTGCTTGTCACACCCCCACCCCGGATCACATAGGGTGAGCAGCAGACTAACCACCAAGGTCTTAACTAATCATCCCTGTGCATGATTAATGCAAAATGCAGCAGAAGACAATTAATAAAGTAATCCTTTTCACCGACCTAATGAATACCAGAGAAATAAACTAACATCATCGACGTTATTACTAAACTCATGTAAAACAATAATTAATCCATAAGGTTCCATACTCTAAGCAAAAACAACATTGTTCTCAAAACAATCGAATACTTGTTTTAAAACTATAAAAAATATTTATTCCTGAAAACCTACAATAAAATAAATTTTTGATTCTTCTAATCCCTTATCTATCCGAGGACTTACTCCTCCTCCTAATCCTCACCTGAAAAATGTTAAATATTTAGGTAAGCACAAAGGCCCGTGAGTAGCAACCACCTCTAATGAGGTTTGAAAATAAATCCCACATTTCATATACACAGAAATAAACTTTGTTAAATACATAAATATAATAAATTGTACCCCAATCCCTTTCACATAACCATGTAAACAAAATGATCTCATGATCATAATAACTTTATAAAAGAAAAGACATTTATAGCTCAAAACACTCATACACATATTCAATCTCAAATACATTTGTCAAATCATGTTTGTTACCACTAGCCTGGTAACTGGCCCCACTTTTGTCATCACTAACCTGATGATTGGCCCCGTCTTTTGTTATCACTATACTGATAACTGGTTTCTATGTGCACATCCTTATACCGACCACGCCGGTATATAATCTCGTTACCATTTAGACTTGATAATTCAGTCTCCTTCTTATAAAACATGATTTCAACACACACACTAAAACAATTGTTTTAGTCTTAGCGCACATAAAATTTCCTTTTCATCACCAAAACACATTTAAGCAATGATATAAAATCATCTCATAAATTTTTTAAATTCGCATGTATAACAATTCACTGTAAAATATTTAATTGCAACCTCAAACATCAACATATATTATATATATGAAAAATTCACACGCACACATCCACACATTGAATATAGAAAATTCTCCCAAAAGAAGTAGTAAACTACTCACCTTGATTTTCAAAATTTAATTCAAAGCACTCTTTCCCAACCTCAATGCAACCACCACCTAATTCAAAATAACATATAACAATCAATCCCTTTTTCTTAACTTCATCGTTTCATAATTCTATATTTAATTTTATATTTCCTACTTATTAATATATACTCAATATATATTTTACATATAAATATCCTTTATAATATGAGGTAACAGCGTATGAAAGTATTCTGGACTGTTTGGGAAAATTTTCTAAAGTTTTGGGGTCAAATCATAATTTTTAAAACTTTTGGGGTCAAAATATAATTTCATTGAAAACGAATTTTCTGTTTTCGGGCCTGCCATACATTTTTCAGAATAGTATTTAAGGTTCTAGAGACCCATTTTC